AAATCTCCAACCTGAAAGTGTAGGTCTCGTCTGTTACGATCTGCGCATTTCTTCATACGCGTCGCTGCTTTCTCCAAGTAAGCCTTGGCAATCTCCATATTCTCCTTCCACTCCCCCACAAAATTTGAGGCACAGGGGCATCTACCTTGAGAGGTCTCATCCACAGTATGAGGAAGTCTTGGCTGCTGACCTGTCACCAGTTCAAAAGGGCTTTTATTAGTAGATGAACTCTTTTGTGAATTAAAACATAATTGCGCCACATCCAATAATGGAGGCCAATTCTTCTGATTGGTCTGAATAAAGTGCCTCATGTACTCCTCCAATAGTCCATTAAAACGCTCAGTCTGTCCATCTGTTTGAGGGTGGTAACTCGAAGAAAAGTTGAGTTGTGTCCCCACTAACTGGAACAATCCCTTCCAAAATTTCCCTATAAATCTTCCATCTCGGTCACTCACTATGCTCTGAGGAATGCCTCAATATTTCACCACGTGTTTGAACACCAACTTAGCAGTCTCTTCCGTCGAACAATGCTTTGATGCTAGTATAAAAGTGGCATACTTTGAGAACCTGTCCACTACCACCAAAATTGATCCAAGATTTCCTACTCGAGGCAAACGTGATATAAAATCCAAGGAGATACTCTCCCAAGGTCGAGCGGGCACGGGTAGTGGCTCGAGCAACCCAGCAGTCCTTCGTCGATCTACCTTATCTTGTTGACAGATAAGACATGTCTTGGTGTAATCCATCACATCTTGGCGCATTTGAGGCCAATAATACCCTTGTTTCAACAAAGCAACAGTACACCTCCAACCGGGATGCCCAACCCATGGGGTATCATGACATTCCTTCAACAGCTTCTATCGTAGATTTCCAGCTCAAGGAACAAACATTAGATAAATTAGAATCTACTAATGATATGAATTGATTGATCAATAAATTAGATATGAATGTTATATTAAAATCTACAAATAAATTTTTATTTATTTTCTCCTTTCCATTTAATCATTATTTTTTAATATGAACGAAATTAGTGAATATAATTATTAATATCTGACTGTCGCCAATGAAATCTTATATTGAGAATTTTAGGATTTTATATTTAAGCTTGTTACATTTCCGAAAATTATTTCTGAAAATCGTCAGTTCTTTGTTAATAAAAACCTATTTAAAAATTATCTAATATCGCTCTCAAGCTTGTTGCACTTGATTAGTTCAAGTGAGATATTGGTGATGATGTTCTCAGAAATATGTCAGATCCAGAAAGATATTTTAAAGAGAAAGATGAATTCATCGAAATAAATTTCTAGATAAAACCTAATCTGATATGATATAGATAACATGTATTTCGGGAAAACTTCCTCTTAAGATAACTTCAAAAGTCATCATTCGACCCTAAAAAAAGTAGTCACACCCTCAATGATTGCCTGAGAAATCCTCTACACATGTACGCTAAAAAGTTTTAATTTATATTGTATCCTATGGTGTGGCAAGCACCCTTAATCAAACAACACCAAAATTCTTCCCCCGTTTAAAAATTAAAATTACTCAAAATGTACGTTCTCCATTAGTCTAGGTATTAGTTACTCAGAAATGTTTTTGACCTTCGTCCTACTGCCATGGTGTTGAGACGCTTTCATTATGCTTTCATAGTGAGGATGCCTTCTCCCTAGCTGAATACGTTGAGTTGCTTCCTCCTTAACCAATCAAAACATAGATGCCTCCACCCCAGACACCATTGAGTTGCCTCTATCGGGAGTTCAGATACCTCCACCCCAAGCTTGCGGCTTATATAAACTAAGATAATAGAGAGCATCTGCTCTAGCAATAGGAGTGATTTTATTGTGCCTTAACAAGCGTTGAGATGTTCTTTGTTCTAGTGAGAGATTCCAACTCTTCTTTTCTACTAAAGCAAAGATGCCTTTGTCATACTTGTAGAATTTCAAAGCGAAAGTTGCCTCCATTATACCTGCTATGTATTTTCCCAAAACGAGTTATCCCATCTAAACCGTCCATGGGCATTAAGATGCCTCCACCACTCTATAAACTCTATTCATTATCATCCGAAAAGGTGGGATACCTCTATCTTGGTAATAGAAATTAATCTGTTACCATCTCAAAGTGCGTTGAAAAGCCTCCATCCAAAAGTGTCGAGATATCTCTGCTTGAGCTCATACTGGGAAAGAATTGTCTCGCATTCTAGCTGCCACAACTCTATGGGTTTATCTAAGAGTGTCGGATGCCTCCACTCAGTAGCTGGACTTCCTCCGCTGCTACTAAAAGCGTAGAGATTCATTTGTCCTAGTTAGGGGAAGATAGATACCTTCCCATATCTCCTACTTTTATAAAGAAGCCTTCATTTCTCAATCAAACTTTTTCGAGGGTGTTGAGTTGCCTTCTCTATCATCTGAAAATATTAGAATCATTTTAACTCTCTTGTGACACCCTAATACAATCCAAAATAAGTTAATATGCATCTATCTTTGGTAGAAATTAATCTGTTACCATCTCAAAGTGCGTTGAAAAGCCTCCATCCAAAAGTGTCGAGATATCTCTGCTTGAGCTCATACTGGGAAAGAATTGTCTCGCATTCTAGCTGCCACAACTCTATGGGTTTATCTAAGAGTGTCGGATGCCTCCACTCAGTAGCTGGACTTCCTCCGCTGCTACTTAAAGCGTAGAGATTCATTTGTCCTAGTTAGGGGAAGAGAGATACCTTCCCATATCTCCTACTTTTATAAAGAAGCCTTCATTTCTCAATCAAACTTTTTCGAGGGTGTTGAGTTGCCTTCTCTATCATCTGAAAATATTAGAATCATTTTAACTCTCTTGTGACACCCTAATACAATCCAAAATAAGTTAATATGCATCCATCTTTGGTAATATGAGTAACTCTATTAGCAACTCATAGGTTGTAAAAGAGTCTCCACCTAGTAACGTTGAGATACCTTAATGTAATTCTCACTAAGTAGGACCTACCTCATGTTGTGAAGAGGATGAGATGCTTCCGCTTGACGATGGGAAATGTTTCCTCACTATATCAAAGCATAGAGATGTCTTTGCCACAATAAGGACATAACCCTTATGATTCTTACTATGACGAAGAAGTCTTTAGCCATTAAACTGGAAGAGCTTATAAGAGTAACAAGTCATTCTCAATTGACTAAAAACACAAAGATATCTCACATGAGTATTACATTAATACATTTTTATTGATAAAATTGGATAAAATTACCTCTACTATAGACAAGAAAACTTGCCAGTGACTTTTATGAAACACAGAAAAGACCACTTACAAATGTTGAGAATCCTCCACGGGAAAAATATATACCGAAGAAATGTTATTAATAGAAATAAACTGACCTGGCTTGTGTTGTTAGTCTCTATAGTCTGTTATAGCCGTTGGGCTTTGCCTTTGTGTATTCGGCCTATATAAAGGGCCTAATACTTTGTATTGAATCAGGCTTTAATTAAAAGTAAATTTTTCTGTGTTTACTTATTATTTCCTTGGTTACTATTTTGGTGGTTCTGAAGATTTAACCGTCTTCTTTACTCTTCTTTACCTCTGATGGGATACGTACAGGGGCATCACTTCCCCTGAGTTTATTCAAACATCTCACAAGCGTCGAGACCCTTCGTTGGTAGTACGCATAAATTGAGGCACAACTCCCTCTGAGTTATTTAAATACTCTAAAAAGTGTTGAGTGACCTCCGCAGAATATAAATACATGGTAGAAAACAACTCTACCCAAATAAAATAGAATACCTTAGAAGATTGAGAAACCTTCGTAGGGAATACAAGAAAAATAAAACCTCAACTAAAAATAATCACGAGGCAGGAGTCGAACTCTGTCCAAGCAAAATAAGAAGCTCCTAAAGTGTTGAGTGTCCTTCGAAAAGAACAATTGAAGGTACCAAGAAAACTCCGATATGAGTATATTCGAAAATACCTCCGAGATAACTCCACAAAATGTAGAAACACATACTTAAGCAAATATGACAAACTTGAGCAGGTTTATAAAATACAAGGTCCTTTCCATCATTGATGTCAATGTTTCTCCCAATCAAAAACGTTGATTATCCTCAAAGGAGAAAGCATAGTGCTTGAAAATAACGCATTCTGATTTAATTTCGCAAGACCCAAAATGGGTAGAAAATGGGAATGAACCAAATCTGAAGAGGAAATGGGTCTTATCCTTCTTTTAATTTGTGCAAAATCAGTAAATGGGAATTAAAATTTATGATGAAGTCTATCTCTCAAATCTGTTATAGATATTTCACCTTTGTCAGAGTTGCACTCGTATATTAAAAATTTATTACAATAGATGTGAGGAATGAACCAAGGAAACAATGGACGAATTATGTCTTGTTATCCACTTCTATTTCAATCTATTGTTAATAGAGAGACTCATGATGGCATGCTCAACATCAACCGTTAAACCACTTGGAAAAGTCATAAAGAAGAAAGACCACTAGGAGAGAAAATTTTATAACATACTATATGAGCAGAAGAAAGTGTATTACAAGAATAGGAAAAAACATTAATTCTTATACTACTATATAGTGCTATATTACATACATTATAATATAACGTCTAAATAAGTATGTTATTACACTATATTATTGATCTCAACATAATCTATGAGTAATCAACATTATATAACTTGTAATTAATTATATGTAAGATAAAATGACTAATATAATTGATCATGTAATTTTAATTTCTTAATAATATATTACTTTGAATTTATCAATTAAACATATAGTATAATAACTAGTGACAGGATTTTAATTATGATTTGTATTAATCTCCAAAAACAATACAGAAGAATTCATCTTATTTCCCTCGAAAAATAAAATATAATACTTCCAAATTCTTCTAAAGACGACTGTTGAAAAGTTGGGATGTGTGGTCTATATTAACTGCTCTGTTTTAAATATCAAAACAAGCAATCAGCAATTGCACAGCACCATCCTTTTGATCTTTAAACCTTCTCTTTTTCCGGTTGCTAATTTGTAAATTCATTCTCTTTTTAACTGTGTCGGTCACCGTTAAGAAAATGGAAAGTTGTTTATCTACAGCCATATCATCATCGTCATCATCTCCCTTCTCCATTTTCAGTATTCAGGCAAGTAAACTATCGTTATTGCATGCGTTTGTTTCTGTTATTTGTACACGTTGTATATACATTTTCATTCAAAAATAATTCTGGGTTTCTGAATTTATCTTCGCTCTTGAAGTGTATGCATATTTCTCTTAAGAAGATTGCAATTTTTTATACGTCTTTGACCTACACGTTCCTTTGCCATTTTGGTTGCAATCGTGGGTTATTTTGAATTTCTCAACTTCGTCTACTGAAAAAAACTGCAGGGTGCTTCATCAAATGTTGGTAGAAATTTGATCAAGAGTTATCAACTTCCTAAACCGTTTCTTCAACTTAATGGCAGACCGAAGTACCTACGGAACCAACGAAGGTCGGTTAATTTGTATTCTGGAACGTACAAAAGGCCTATAGTATCTGCTGAGAATCAGGGTTGGGGTTTGGGGAGGTTTTTGAAAACATTATATTTTTTCAATGGACCACCTTCTCCCGACAAGGTATGACAAAATTTCTATACCCTTTTTTAGTCATGGTGTCTTGATTCTGGAATTTGTGTGCATGCACTAATATGTAATTTGGTTTTTCCTGAAGATTGTTAAATTCATAATCGGGAAATTATCTGGTTCGTCGTCAGAAGAATCAGAGAAGAAAATGGGAACTACCGGCTATGTTCTGGTAGTTGGAGCTACTGGTGGTGTAGGTAGAAGAATTGTTGATAACTTAAGAAAGAAAGGGTTGCCTATTAAAGCATTGGTATTTTTCTTAAACTTTGCACATGTTTATCATGCTATTTCCTTGAATTATGAATTGATTCCTTCTGAAGTGCGTCATGAAGCCTGTGTTAGTGTGTTCTTTTGAGCTTTGCTTCCTTTGAACGCCAAAAGAAAAGGGTTCTTGTTAAATTCTACGTGTGTTTCTCTTTGTTTTATCTTCTTTCTTCTTTAGCCTTTTGCCCTTTGTAACTTTTGTTTTCATGCGTACCTACTTTCAGGTCAGGAATGAAGACAAAGCAAGAAAGATGCTCGGTACCGATATTGAATTGGTGAGCTAGTTTCTCATATTATTCACTCAATGTAAATCTCTTTATCATTATTGTTTTATAATGTGGTGACACTTGTAACTAAGGTATTTCATAAAAGAATTGTGTTTGTTTTCTGTATTTATCATAATTCTCGGACAAGGAAACTTAACTCTTAGTGCTGTCATGGTGTAGATCCATGTGATCCTAATTAGACCTATGTTAATATATTTTTCTTCACAGTTGATGGAGTTTTATCTGTTAATCCTTCCATTCCATGTTTCTTAATTTCCCTTTTCCTTCAAATTGGAGATTGTTGGAGACATTACTAAGGCGAGCACACTGCCCTCCGAGTACTTTAGAGGAGTGAAGAAAGTCATAAATGCTGCTTCTGTCATTATTGGCCCAAAGGAAGGGGATACTCCCGACCGAGCAAAATACAGTCAAGTATGATTTCAAGAATTCTCCAAGTAATAAATTTTATAGGTTATAAAGAAGTTGGCCAAGTTTCTCAAATCTTTTAGTACTTTCTGCCATTTCAATGTTGTTCTGTTAGAATATTGAGTGTTTTCTTGGATTATATTTAATAACTATTTTCATGGTTTAAGATCCTGACATCCAAATGTTATTTCTTTCAGGGAGTCAAATTTTTTGAACCAGAGGTAGCAAACCAATTGCAATCTTATATCTCTTTAGTTTCTGCTAAGGAATTTATACTTGAGAATTCTTTTGTTTTTCCTCTCTTTTCCCCTAGAGTTAAAATCACTATTTATTATCACTTGTATCTATGATTTTTGTTTGTTTGTTTGATGAAACAGGTAAAAGGTGATTCACCTGAAATGGTTGAGTATATTGGAATGAAAAACTTGATTAATGCTGTGAGGGAGAGTGTTGGACTTCGAACAGGAAAACTGCTTTTTGGATTTGAAGGTATGGTCTCCAAATTTCTTGCTAGCGTAAAACTGCAATTGGTTATAATTATAGATAATGAAGAGAGGAAGGAATATTTAGTGTAAAGTGTTTTACTTTGTCCTATAAACGGAACAAAGGAGACAAACTACCTTGAATTTAGTTTCCATATAGAACATTGAACTTCAAGTAACATCTGTTAAACTTGTGACATATTGTTGGTGTAAAATCTATGAACTACTAGCAACAATTTCTGAGAGTCCAGCCATGTTTGGATGTGAACAAAATACTATGTAGTTTAACGTATGAAATTGGTGCAGGAAAAACACTGGTGACCCAGCCAATTGACAGTTTAGGAAAGATGTGAAATCTTGTTTCTCTGGTTTTGTACAGAATTTGGTTATTGGCTTTTTTTTTTCTTGTTTCCATTAAGCAGATCGGATTTCAAAAGAACTTGATTGGGGTGCTTTAGATGATGTTGTAATGGGAGGTGTTAGTGAAAGTACATTTCGAATTGATCGGACTGGTGGTGAGAATGGCAAACCAACTGGTCTTTTCAAAGGTTTGTTCTTTTGAGAACCAGCAGTGAACTATAAACCTCTATTATGGCTCTATCATCTCTTTGTTCTTTTCTTTCCCTTTTCTATATGTGATTCTTTGTCTTTGTCAGGCATTGTTTCAACAGCAAACAATGGTGGATTTAGCAGTATCAGAACAAAGGTATAAACCTGAATAGCTTTTGTTCTTACCCCAAGCATGTTTATTCCATTTTCATATACAAGAAGTAAAATATTTGTTGGTTCTTATTTTCAGAACTTTTCCTCCCCTGTGGATCTTTCAGCATATGACGGTTTGGAGTTGCGCTTAAAGGGCGATGGTTGCCGATATAAACTAATTGTTCGCACTAGCACCGATTGGGATACTGTGGGTTATACAGCAAGCTTTGACACTGTTGGAGGCCAATGGCAGTCTGTGTGTAACACCATGACCATTCTACACATCAGCATTATCAAACAAATTATCTTCTCCATTCAGCTTGTAACTTTTTATTTCTTTACAGATTCGCTTGCCGTTCTCTACACTGAGACCTATATTTCGAGCACGGACTGTATCTGATGCCCCACCCTTCGATCCAAGAAATGTTGTATCGTTCCAGGTTTGCCACTGTGTATGTTTATTTTTGCTGATCTTTCAAGATTTTTCGGTTTACCAAACTGTTTACAAGGAATGCAAAATCATTCCAGCTCATGTTCAGCAAGTTTGAATATGATGGGAAACTGAATCCCACTTTTGTAGAAGGACCTTTTGAGCTTCCACTCTCAAGCATAAAAGCATACATGAAGGATCCTATCACTACCAGGTTAACATTACATTCTTCTCATTTTATCGGATTTTTTCCGTTACCCTTGTCTAGACTTTCTTGTTTTTGATTATTTACCTTCTGCTTCACTCTTAGGTTTGTACACGTGAGCTCTGCAGGAGTTACTAGACCCGACAGGCCTGGCATTGACCTGAGCAAACAACCTCCTGCTGTGCGCTTGAATAAGGAATTGGATTTTGTCCTAACATTCAAGTTGAAGGTTATTTTCTACGAGTGTAATTCTATCTGTGCATCATTCTATAAGCATTAAATTATTTGCTGAAGTGATCAAAGTATCAGCTGTATAATGTTTTTCATTATGAAACAAAATATCGAGTATATGAACATTGTATCGGTTTCAAAACTAGAAAGTTTCCGCAATTGAACAGTAAAGATGCTTGAATGTATGATATTTGAGGTATAATTTTCCCTATATATGATGTATTTTCGAACTAGTAGGAATCAGCATTTTTCCTTAGACCTTTTATTCCTAGAGCAGGGGGAGGATTTGTTACGTGAGAGTGGAATTCCTTACGCAATTGTAAGGCCTTGTGCATTAACCGAAGAGCCTGCAGGAGCAGATCTCATTTTTGATCAAGGAGACAATATAACGGTATGTCATTGAATGGAAGCGGAATATTTAGTTGTGATTAAGCGGAGTATTCTTAACATGTGGTTATAATTCCGCTAGCATGAACATTTGACCGCTAATAAGGTGGATACAGTCCTACCGTGTAACTTGTATCCCAAGTATAAACATTTTTACGAGGTGGAAACTCTGTTTTCTTGCTAAAACTGTATATATTATCTGACTATACAGGGAAAGATATCGAGAGAAGAAATTGCTCTAATATGCATCGCTGCGTTGGAGAGCCCGTATGCATGTGACAAGACATTTGAGGTTAGTCTATTGCTACCATGCTAGATCATATTTTCACTACAGATGATTGTAGCTTTACATTGTGATGAATCAGATTGCACCATATTTGGTTAAGGCATTAAAAATCTTAAATCCCTTTAACTAAACTGCCGAGAACGAATTAAAATTCAATGTTAAAATTCATCGGAAGTCACTAATCCTGAGCTTGTATGGACATTAAAAAGAACACGAATCAAAGCTTGAGGAGTTAACTATCATTGTTTAGCAATATTCACATTGTGTTTATGCTGTTGTCTACTATATCCTGAGCAGTGGTTGAATGTAAGCTGCCCGGCATTATGTTTTTCGATATTGTTCATGTATATCATTTGGCCTTTTACAGGTTAAAAGTGTGATTCCATTTAGTGAACCATTCACAGTGGACCCTGAAAACCCACCCCCAGTGAAGGACTACAATATTTATTTCCAAACGTTGAAAGATGGCATTACAGGCAAAGAAAGCTTGGAACAAAGTGCCCCTGTCTGAAAATCGATGGCTGTATCGCAGGGAACTTCGCTTTTGAAGCACCTCTAGACAATTACACATGAATGTGATGGGTGGTGCATTATAAAAGTTCGCTTGATGCTATGTTCAGCTCATCAAAGGTCTTATTGTTATAATTACATACCTCAAAACACTGCCTAGACCTAAACTCTTGCTAATACTTTGGTACCTGTTAGAGAGAGAGAGTAGGGAATGTATGGAAATAATACTGAAAGTAGGGGATGGAGAATCTCTGTTGAACATTTTGCAAGTTGCAAGGTGATGACTCCATGAACTATTATTACAAAAAAAAATACATGTTCATATTGGCGCACATCCTTAGGGGCCCCATTGTTCCCCCATAGATGATAAATACATTACATTTTGTCAATCTTTGACAGGTACTTCCATAGCTTCATAGGACTTTATGAAAGTTCACTGCTTGAAGAGAATAGTAAAAGTACAAATTTTGAAAATCTGAAAGCCCTTTCCTGTGAATTTTATCCCATGCCCTTTTCTATTTTTGTTACCTTTATTCCCAAATTAAGTATTTGAATAGGGGTAAAATTAAAAAAAAAATTTCTTACAGTGCAGAATCAGAAGGGACCAGTTTGGCTTTGTAATGTCGTAACCGGTTTTTGCCCGGGCATGAAATTTTACTTGGCGAGAAAATTAAAATAAATAAATAAATGATTTTGATTTAAAATAAAATATTTTGGGAGTCGCCATTGACCCTTTGGGTTAGGTAGGTCAAATACCTAATAATAAACTTTTAAAATAGTTTTTAAGAAAACATATTTTAAAAGATAAACTGATCTGCGTATAACAAAAAAAAATTAGTAAAGAAGGGATTCGTGGTCGATTACGTTTAGGGAAGAATTAACACCCCTATAACGCCCAAAATTGATACTCATTAATTATAAATTGTCTCTATTATTAAAAATTTAAAAATTCAAAAATATATTTAATTCATAATCCTATTATTTCAAATTTATTAATATAAGTTTAAGAAAATATATTAATATATATATATTATTTATAAATAAGATATTTATTTACTTAGAAATATCAGAAAATGACTTCTAGGTGTTTTAAGACAACCCCTTTCTTTAATATAAAAAAACTAAATATTAATAAAAAAAATTTCTAAAAATAATTAGAATAAATTAATATATAATTTATAAAAATAGGATATTTATTTATTTAAGAATATCAGAAAATGACTTCTATGTGCTTTAAGACAGCCCATTTATTTAATATTAAAAAATAAATAAATATTATTATTTAAACAAATATATATATATATATATTTATATAAAATAATAATTAAAGTAATAATTTAAACATATCGAAAGCAAAAAGATAATAAAAAATAAATTGCAATTAAATAGTGACTAAAATAAATAAAATTAAAAATAACCGAAACAAAATGCAAAATATTAAAAATTTAGGGACATAATTCGAATTTATCATAAAATATAAATACTAATATTGTATTTTAACAATAAATATTAAACGGTGATTAAAATATAAACTATTAAAATTATAGGGGCTAAATTACATATTTACCCTAAATATTTATTAAATATACTGTAAAGGACTAAAATAAAAATATGTAAAATGTGAAGACAAAATTAAAATGGCATAAATTGATATCCAGTGACTAAATTGCAAAGATACAAAATTAGAGGGGCTGCGGAAAGGGTTTGGCCATAAGAGAAATTATAGAAACACCCTCCCAAAATGACATCGTTTGGGAGAGGGTATATAAACCCTTTTAAACCGGCCCTAAGGGCCATTGTTTCATTTTTCTGGTTTTGCTTATCTCTCTCTTTAGAGAGAGAAGCTCTCATTTTCTCTCGCCGGAGGAGAAAACTGGCCACCGTTGGCTACCGTTTCCGGTGCCGATCGCCGTCGCTGGCTACTGTCGATGGTGGCAGAAAAATTACAAAACCCCCCAAAGAGAGATTTGAACGCCTTAATGATAGTTCCAATCTCCTTTTTCCCTAAATCTCTTTAGATCGACGTAGATCTAATTTTTTTTACCTTCGAACTTTCGGTTCTACGACGGTGTATGGAGGCTCCGATGAGGGTAAGTATTCTCAATCTCTTCTCTTCCTTTTGTTTATTGGGTTCTCTCCGTTCTCCCTCGGTTGTTGGTTGTTGTGGGTGTCTCTCGTTCTTTGCTATGGTTTGTTGTCTGTCTCGTTCTTCTTTGCTTTGTGGGTTGCTTTCGTTGTTTCTTTTTGCACCCGTTCTTGCTCTATGTTTTTTCTTCTATGCAGGATCGGTGGCCTTTATAGGCCACCATGATATTGCTCTTGGACCGGGCAATAGAGGAGGCTTCGGTGAGTCACCGAACTATAGTGGTGACTCACAATGTAATAGCGACGTGGACAGCCGGCGTAGACCTTCTGGAGACTTCGGTTGAGGCGTCGTGGCAGTGTAGAATGTTGGCAGCTGCTGGACGAGGCATCTGGCAAAGGAACGTCAGCAGAGGCGGCTGGAAGCTTGGAGGCGGCGGCTGGGATGATAACCTAGGGTTATGAAACCCTAGGGTTTCATGTTGAACCTTCTGTGAACCGTTGGATCTCTCAGATCCAACGGCTGATATCATTGGCGGTTGGGGCTGATATGATGAAATCCTAATTTGGTTTAGGGTTATATATTTGGGCCAATTTCTGGTTTGGGCTTCTGGGTTTGGGCCTATAATATGTAATAATAATAAATTAATAATAAAAATAAAATAATAATTATTATTATTATAATAAATAATAAAACCATGACACAAATTTAGTGTCTACAACTGCCCATTTTTGCCCATTCTTGTGTTAACAAGAATAGAGCAAAGACGAAATGATAATAAATTTTGTTCAGTTGACTTCTCTTGATCTTGATTAAGATGGAAATATTGAACAAATTCTTTTCATTATGAACTCTTCCACTGGGAATGACAATCCCTTTCTTTCTGTGGTGTAATCTATCAACAAGTTGAACAAGTTCTCATTATGAACTTCTTCTTCATCTTCAGATGAGTTCTTCTCATTATAAACTCTTCATGGAAATACTGATCCTCAAAAGAGGTGTTGTTGATTCAACTTCATATGTGATGAATTAAGGCAAGGTTGAATAAGTTCTTCTCATTATAAACTTCTTCTTCCTCTTCAGACGAGTTCTTCTCTTTATGAACTCTAACTGAAAATGATGATGCTGATCTATCTCTTTTTGCGATAGTGTCAAGCAAAAGGTTGAACAAATTCTTCTCATTATGAACTTCTTCTTCCTCTTCATATGAGTTCTTCTCATTATGAACTTTCTCTGAAAATTTTGGTACTGATCTATCTCCTTCTGCGATAGAGTCATGCAAAAGGTTGAACAAGTTCTTCTCATTATGAAATTCTTCTTCCTCTTCAGATGAGTTCTTCTCATTATGAACTTTCTCTGGAAATGTTGGTGCTGATCTATCTCCTTCTGCGATAGAGTCATGCAAAAGATTGAACAAGTTCTTCTCATTATGAACTTCTTCTTCCTCTTCAGATGAGTTATTCTCATTATGAACTCTTCTAGAAATGTTGAAAACATTCTGCCCAGAGGTCTTATGAATGGCCCTGAGGTCTTATCATCTTGCAGTGTAGGTCTTACAGATGACCCTGAGGCTTTAATTATCAAAAATCTCCCGAAGGCTTTTTGAAAACATCATGTACTGTAGGTCTTACAGATGACCCGGAGGCTTTAAAAACATCAAAAAGCTCCCGAAGGCTTTTTGAAAACATCATGCACTGTAGGTCTTATGGATGTGGGAAATAGTTTACTAAGTAAGAAACTATGGAAATCGTTTTCTTACTATTCAACAATTTCATTTTTAGAAAAGATTAAATGAGAAATTTTGGAAATCATTTTCTCATTTTTTTTCAAAATAACTTAGTTGATTGGGTAACATGCGCCAAAATAATACTTCTTTTGTGGATTGCGACCATCTATTCTTCAGATGTTTGTGTGATTCTTGCATTTGAGGTTTTGAATTCTACCTTCTTCTTGTAAGGTATTTTTCATCATGAATCTTCTTTTTCATACGAAGATCTGTAAAACTTTATGTTTGGATGCAATCAAATGTATCGATGTAATGAATTGTCTATTGTGCAAATGATGTTCTTATGAATGCATGAATGTTGATGCAATCTTCATTTGACTTCAAAGTGCTGAACTCGGCCTTCCTTCAATTGATCTTTTATTTCCAGGGTTACTTTTGGAGTGGTGTGTCAACTTATGCTAATTCTAAAGAACCATTTGATCAACTTGTATCTTTGTGTCTTCTTTGCTTCATGAAAGTTTTAGAAGAAATGTTTCATTTGTGGAACTCTTACCGTAATCAGAATTATGACCTTGATGCCCCATTTTTATCTTTGATAACATCGGCTTTTTTCGTCTGGACTTGTGTAGAAATCCAATAAGGCTTTCATCTTTAAAAAGAGAATCTATCATTTTTGAAAAGAGAATCTATCATCTTTGAAGAATATATCTATCATCTTTGAAGAATATATCTATCATCTTTGAAGAATGTAGATGTAGATATGTCAAACTCAGCAGAAATTAAGTAGGAGAGTAGAGTATGTTCTGATTTAACTCTTGAAACACATAACAAGGAGGACTTATCCTAATTCCTTTCATGTCTCCACATCTAATTGGATCTTGAACAAAGCCATTCAGACCATATCATATTGAGATGTTTAACAACAACCTGTCGTTCAACCTTAGTTGGCTCCACTAGTTTCTTGTTGCTAAAATTCCAGCTCTCCTCTATGGAAAGAAATCTTCATCATATCTCACTTCTAACCTTGGGAGCCATAATGAGTGTTGTAGGAAGTAGAAACACATCAGCTATAGGAGCCATGTACAAAAGGAGGTCTATGGAATTCTTACTGTTGTAGATGAAACGCACATGATAAACCACATAGATGAAAACTCATTTCATCTTGACTGGCAATGATAACCCAGTAACAATTGGAATAAGAATAACATAAACTGAGCCTCTTTATTCAATATCATCAAGTAAGCAAAACTAATGTGAAAAATGATTTTGTAGCCTCAACAGCATGATTGAAACTAAAATGAACCCTGGATTGAATGGTCTACATGGGGACCATCTTTATCAATACAACTATGGTGTAGCTTAACAAAGAACACGTTGTCATGTGATACATGGTTAAGAAGATTGGGTATTTGAAACCATACTTGCTGAGTAGGTATTTGTTCAACAACATGATCATAATGTAACTGCCTGATGAACGAAGCAAT